ATGGTAGAGTAGGAACACTATTTGTAGGCTCAAGACAGCAACTGTAGGCTATTCTTCCCTGATGATGCTGCGAGTAGCATTTCGGTCTGCCCTACCCGAGGCCAACCCACAAGTTCCCAGTGGAACCTATTGGTACCACAATATTCCCACACCACAGTCCTTGCACAATCTACGTGCTGAGCAAGTCAAAAAGCCCGTACATTTTGCAGAGCATACGGATGCTTTTTATTAATGCTAAAAGTAGCATGCGTTAAACTTTCTACTGTATACAGGTCTTGCGGCAACAGACTAAAAACAATGGTTTTCAAAATGGCAAAAAGCTTATTTTTCGACCTGCATGTTCATACCGTACTGCATTCAGGGTCATGCCATTTGCTCCATCCATGTCTCAACTCCAGAACTCCAACCACCCAAACGAAAACGTGGTTCCCTGGATCCTACGTTTGGGCTTCAAGATCAACTACCTTGAGTCAAAATACCGTTTGCCAATGACTTGCTAGCAATGATCACAGTTAAGATGGACCCTCAACGCCGAAGCATACGGCACAGTAGGAACACTGGGATATCTTCGTAGGAAAATGGCCGTACTGGCAGTAGATTGGGTGCGGTGGGTGGAATGACACGTCCCGTGTGTACAGTACTAGCATTACCGGAGGAAATGTCCTACCACCCTTATAGCTGGTCGGTTAATCTTTTGCAGTCCAACGAGCCCATACCGGTAGCACATCGATGATACACTTCAGTCGACACGCAAATAATAATTAATAATCGACCATTCTCGACCCATCTAAATATGCGTGCATCAAAGACTCCACCATTTACCCATCTCTGCCATCAATTTACACATTCCCGCACCCACTTGGTACATACATTGAAGGTATCTGAGGGCCACCCTTCTGGGAAAGTCTATACAGTGAGTCGGGATTTTTACCGAGAGATCCTACTTATCCCCAAAAGCTTCGATCGATAACCTGATAAGCGTCGTTCCCCACTATTGGCTTCTACTCAGTGGGATACGTGTCCCGCTATCGATCAGCTCTCGGGTACACGACTTCGATCCCTTTAGCTGACTGTACAAACATTTGGTCTAACCCTCTTACTCCAGTAGGATAGACGACATTTGGTAAGCCTCTCGCGTGTCGTCGCTCGCAAGCAGTACTTAAATGAATAATTAAACAATACGTGTATATTGCAAGACAAACGGTACACAACCCCAGTTGGAAAGGATAATCTTTTGAGTCATAATCAAGAAACCTTGACCTTAGTGACTGGCGTTGTTTTGTTCCTTAATGAGCCATCCAGTAGCATTGGGTAACGCATGCTGCACAATCACGAAGTCTCATACCAGATTGATTAATCATTAGAGACCACTCAAACTCAGTCCCTTGGTCTCGAAGGCTGGGGTTGGAATCAGAGTGTTTGCATTCCTTAAAATCGACCCTTGTGCAACCCATTGCCAAAATACCGCTGTTTTGTAGCCAGGATTTTGCACTTAAGGCGTTAAATGAAAATCCTAGTCGTCCTCTTTGCCTGGCCTTTAAAGTGAAAAGAAAGTAGCAGCAGTACGCCGGTACACAGTACCGACGTTTTGCTGCCGCGCAAGCATAAACAGTCGAGCGTAATCTGCGGATACTCCGAGTGTCGTCCGGTCCTCTACGCAGGCTCGAACTCGTGCCACCGGAGTACATGACAGGCATGTGATCCTTAAGGCCACGGGCCTTGACATGAGGAAAGGATCTGGCAAAGCAACAAAATTAAAATATTTCCAAACAAGTTCTTGATCCGTTGGTGCCACCGAGTATAATCAAAGACGACTCATCCACTGCACCAACCGATGTGGATAGGGTGAGGGTTCAACTGCGCAAGCCTCACCGCCTTTATATCCATGCTCATGGGATTTCCATCGTTCCGTTTCACTCCATCCTCCTTTTCAGCCTGATGTTTAGTAATCCCCTTCTTGTCTTTGATAGGCGTTTTCGTCTAGTTTCGGCTCAAACGCAATCGCATACCGCCGCTCCGGCTCCGCTGAAAAGTCCATATGCAACCACCGGAAAACCACAGTCCCTCGATCTTCGCTAGGACTGGCAAGCTTCAACGAGCACATCTTATCGTACATCGGTGAACAAGTAGCACTTATCCCAACATTAGCAATCATATCGAACAATGTCTGCTACGTGTCAGAAACCCGCCTCACTCAATGATCCTCTCAGTGCACAGCTCTATTTGCTGATCAAAACAACGTAGGTACTTTACTGATCCCTCGGGCTGAGGTCGCTGTGATAGGCTGATTGCTATTTCAAAGATTAGAAGTAGCACAGAGATAATAGGTGTCAATTTGTCACTGCCGCTTACGTTCCCACAAACTGTAGCACCGATTTCGTGAAAAATGACTTGAATACCAACTGAGCGAGCTTTTTCGTCGAAGAAGGACAACATGTTGTAGTGCTGGCAGGTGAACTGATGGCTCAAGTTGAAAAAGTGTCTAAGAATGAGTTGTATCTGGGCGACCAACACGGTGTAGGCCCTAGTAATGATGATGGTGTGGTTTTACGTTTATGTGAGTGCGCGTCTATTTATGGTGAGCACTGATAACCCACACAGCACCCGCAGAACAGCGACATGGTGCCTATTGGCCTCGGACCAACCACAGACAAATCAATCGCACCGCTATCAAGTACAGCTGAAAAATGCGCCCTAAACTGTCACTGGATATGGAGCACAAGCGTGGACTTCAACCATGCATTTGTATATACCGGCCTGCTGATGACTTTCGCAGGGAAGCCGCAACGACGCTGTGATCATATAGACACTGAAGTGTATCAAAGGACGCTTGCATCGAGCCAAAGTTAGAAGTAACTGATGGCATGTTAACCAGATATTATTAGCTGCATTTGTGCCGTTACGTTGCAAATCCGACTGACGGGCAGAACTACCAGATTGGCCGCCGGCCAATGATCGCGCTGCCGATTGGCCATGCCTTTGGGCAGAGGTGCAGTTGTGGTAGCTGGACGCTAGGTTGAATTCACTCGCCGAACCATACGGTTTGCGTCCAACCCAC